CAAGGGGGGCGGCCAGAAGGGATCAGCTCCACCTAGGAGCTCACAGTGGGGACGGGGGGCGGGCGGGGGGAGCAGTCAGGAGTCCACAGCCCTCCTGGCAGGGAGGGGCTCAAGGCCACTGTGAGCCTGAGCCCTTCAGGACCCAGGACAGCACCCGCCATCCATGTGCAGCCTGGGGGCCTGGGTTCTGTCCCTGGGGCCAGTCCACAACTGTGGCCGCGCCACCAGGGGGCGGCCTTCCCCAACCCTTGACAGCTGCTGGGCCCCCGGGCTATTGGATTTGCTCACGGCACCCTCCCCCCGCCCTGGGGGGCGGGTCCTGGGGACACCCGTCTGCAGGTGAGAGCTCAGAGCAATGAAGAGACTGGCCCAAGCCCCGTCTGCGTGGCTCAGGGGCTGAGCGTCACCCTATGAACCAGGAGGTCAGGGTTCGATTCCCGTCGGGGCACAGACCTGGGTTGTGGGCTCCATCCCCAGTGTGGGGTGTGCAGGAGGCAGCCGATTCATGCTTCTCTCTCATCCTTGATCTTTCTCTCTCTCCCTCTCCCTTCCTCTATAAAATCAATAAAAATATATTTTTGAGAGAGAGAGAGAGACGGGCCTAAGCCCACCAGCTAGCAAGAGAGCAGGACTGGAACCCAGCAGCAAGGCTTGCTCTCATCCCCTCCCCCCTACAGACAGGGTGCCCTGAGGTGTCCACCCTCCTGCACACCCCGTTCCCTAAACAAAGACAGAGGCAAACCGAGCCCCGAGTAGCCTGCTGCACCCACAGAAACACAGCAACCGGGTCACGGGATCGGGCTGCACACCGTCCGGCACCGAGGCCTGACCGTGACCCAGGCCGCTGCCCCGCTCCCCATCAGCGTGGCCCGGCAGAGCCCAGCTGACAGGACCACACTGGCCCGCGCTCGCCATCTGTCAGGGCCCTGCCCACGCGGCCCTGCCTGACCAGCTCATCCTCCCTGGGACGGGGTCGGCCTCGCGCTGGCAGGGCAGGCTCCTGCTTGGGTGTGTGACCCACTCAGGCCTGTCGCTCCTGGACCTCCTGTCCATCCGCCACCCCCACCCCAGGCTGAACAGGGGGGAGCCGGGAGCCGCAGGGCCGGCTGGAGGGTGACCCTATGAGAAGCCGGGCAGGTCACCCAGAGGGGATGTGGGGGACGGAGGTCCCACTGGGCCTCTGCAGTGACTTCAAGGGGAAGAGGAGGGCGAGCGATGACAGGCAGGGCCTGGGCTGCCAGATGCTCAGCTGGGACATATGGTGGAGGCGGTGACAGGCCTTTGATGGGGTGCTCGGAGCCCCAGCCCTGCCAGCTCCCTCCTGTCACCAGGCAGCGCCCCTCCCACAGCCTCCCACTCCAGGCCCGGCATCTGCACCCACCCCCACCCCCACCCCCACCAGAGGGGGCTCCCGGGCAGGGCAAAGAGCACCTGCCTCCCCCACCTCATCTCAGGGCTCAGGGCAGCCCCAGCATCAGGAGGCAGAGGCCACACCTCACTCCACCAGGAGCCCAGTGAGTGGGAGCCCCTTCCCAAGCTGGGGAGCAGGTGGCCGCCCTGGACACAGCCTGCACCAGGGCCGATGGAAACGCACGGACCACATTGGGGACTTTCTGGGAAGGCGTGGGGAGACTCCCTGAGAGCACGGGTGCTTTCCTATGAACAGCTCCCTCACTTTCTGGAGCTCATTTCTGAAGGCAGGAAGCCCGGGACCCAGGCGGGGCCACTGGACGGATAAATGGACGGATGGATGGACAGACGGATGGATGTTAAGGATGGGTGGATGAGTGGATGGATGGATGGATGGATGGATGGATGGATGGATGGACAGATGTAAGGATGGATGCATATAAGGATGGACGGGTGTAAGGATGGACAGATGGATGGACAGATGTAAGGATGGACAGATATAAGGATGGATGGATGGATGGGTGGATGGATGGACGCACCCATGTCCACATCAAGCCCTCACCCCTGGGCTGGCGGGTGGGGACAGAGAGCTGCGGGGACAGCAAACGCTGACCCGAGAGACAGGCATCAGCATTGGCTGTGTCTCCCAGATTCCCGGGGAGTCCCAACCCGCAGGGCCCCGGATGGGACTTCCTTGTTGACGGGCCTTCACAGAGGGGATCCCGCCATAGCGGGTCCCTAGGGTGGGCCCGGACCCCATCTGCCTGGCGTCCTTAGGAGAGGGGGACGCTTGGGCACAGGGACACAGGGAGAGCAGATGTGGGGACCAAGGTCAGGGCCTGGACCAGTGGCCTCAGGGGCCAACCCTGCGACAGCCTGATCCCAGACTCCCGGACCCAGAGCCGTGAGGCCACCGATGCCCCCGTCCCAGCCACCCCATCTGTGGGGAGGGGGGCAGAGCGGGCCGAGGCCAGTGGGGCGGGGGGTCGTCAGCCCTACCCTGCCCCCAGGAAGGGCGCTCCGCCTGCCCCTCGCTCCCATACCCTGGGTGCCCCAGCATCTGCTGTGACTGATTGTCTGAAATGACAGCCCCTCACGCAGGAGGCTGGTGGGGAGCCAATTAACCCAAATTACGCTCCCGATTGGGGCCCAATTAGTGTCATCGTGCCGGTCGGGGCCTCGTGCAGTCGCTGTCAAGCTGATCCACCGGCTGGGAAAGAGCTCCACCTTCTGAGCCCCAGACCCACTGCTTCCTGCCGCCCCAGTTGGTCCCAGGAAGTCCCAGGAGGCCCCACCAGGCTCCACGGGGCCCGAGGAGGCCTCAGGAGACCCCAGGAGGTCCCAGGAGGTCCCACAAGGCCCCACGAGGTCCCACCAGACCCCATGAGGCCCGAGGAGGCCCCAGGAGACCCCACGAGGTCCCACCAGACCCCACGAGGCCCGAGGAGGCCCCAGGAGACCCCACAAGGTCCCAGGAGGTCCCACCAGGCCCCACGAGGCCCCAGGAGACCCCAGGAGGCCCCAGGAGGTCCCAGGAGGCTGCCTAGCCTCCCAGCTCTGTGGGGCCCCTGCACAAGCTCCTCCCTCAGCCTGGGCACTTTCACTCAGAGAACTCTCCCTCATTCTCCAAAACCAAATCCAGCGGTACTGCCTCCAGGATGCCCTCCCTGATGCTCCCCCTGCACTGGGCTCCCACAGGCCCCTGCTTCCCTCGGTGCAAAGCCCGCCCATCGCCCACTCTGCTCCTGCCCCTCTCCCACTAGGCTCTTGAAGACAGGGCAACATTCGGCCGAGTGCCGCCCTGAACTTGGCGAGGCTCGATGGAAACAGGATGACCAGCAGCGGGGTCCAGGGAAGGGCCGGGCACACGCCGCCCTCAGGCCTCATGGGCTCCGTGTCCGCGGTGAGGAAGGACGGACACTGGGCTGTCAGTCCAAGGGCCCCCACGCAGGTGCCCCTCCACCTGGTCCCCTTCCACTGAGACAGCGTGCAGGGTGTCCTCCGGGGACAGCCAGTGGGCGGGAGGGCGGGCAGGGGGTGACCCAGGCCTGGGAGAAGCTCGGCCCGCTCTGCACAGCGCCAGACAGAGGCACAAGGGAGTCGCTCTGCCCTGAGCCCTGGTGCTTTCCTCCGGGACCAGGCTGTTCTCCCAGGAACTCCCTTTCCTCAGGGACAGCCTGGGGCACGCGGAGGGGGCACCTCCCTGCTCACCGCAGACAGAGCTGCCTCCGGCCACAAGGCACAGCTTCCAGCAGCCTTCTGGGCCCGGCCGCCAGGACCAGCAGCGGCACAGGCCCCGCCAGTGGGACGCACCTTCTCACCAAGGGTGAAGCAGAGACCAGGGGCCTGGGCTGTGTCCCGTGGCAGGGCTCCTGGGGAGGCTCAGGGAGGAGGGGCAGAGAGAAGGGAGGGGAGGGGGGACAGGGAGCTCCCCTCCCACGTCTGCCGGGCCCTGTGGGCACCCAGGCCCTGCTCCCTGAGGTCCCCGAGGTCCCGGCAGTTCGGAGAAGGCAGGGACTCCCCAGGGCTCCCGGAGGGGCTGGGTGGGCACGTGGGCACTGGGTGTCGTCCCTCTGACCCACGGGACCCTCGTCCCTGTGGAACCTCCCGCCCCTACCGTGTCCTCAGAAGCTGCTTCTCATGCAAATGTCCTCAGAATCCGTGACATTTCAGAAACGTTGCTTTGTATATATTTAGACTCCGTTTCAAAGAATTATTCAAAATCAGCGCGTTTGGGTAGATGGGTGTGGAATGGATTGTTTCTAAGCGCTCGCATCAAAAACACCCCGTGTTCCGAGCGGGTGACACATGCTGGGTTATCGCATCGGCACGTTCCGCTGCAGGGAAGCTGCAGAGCTCTGCGCTGACCCGTACTCACTCTTCCTGAGGACGGGCACGGGCGCAGAAAGCTCTCCGCCGCCTCTGGGATGGGCCGTGGGGTCCCTGCCACCTCGAGGCCTGTCCCCAGGCGCTGCCAGAGGCCCACGTGTGCTGGCACTGGCAGGGTGGGCCACCCGAGGGGAGGGCACCCTCCGTGGCCAGGACGGGGGCTTGTCTGCGGCAGGCGGAGCCGAGGGGAGAGCAGCACTGCTGTGGGTGACAGGGTCTCCTCAGAGGGAAGCTGAGGGGAGGCCTAGGCGAGGGCAGACAAGACACTCCAAGGCGTGGCGGCCCGAGCGCTCCCTTTGCAGCAGTCACACCTGTCCCACCGCCGGCCGCTGCGGTTGTGGGCCCAGCGGCCGTTTATGGACATACGTCTACACTGAGGAGGGAGCCTTTAAAAAGACTGGGAAGCTATTGCTGGAGCAATAACTGGGAAGCTATTGCTGGAGCAAGTTGTCCAAGTGCATTTATTTTTTTAAAGAATTTTTTAAAAAATATTTGTGTTGATTTCAGAGAGAAAGGGAGGGGGAGAGATAGAAAGATCAAGGATGAGAGGATCATTGATCGGCTGCCTCCTGCACACCCCACACTGGGGATCCAGCCCACAACCTGGGCCTGGGCCCTGACCAGGACTAGGACCGTGACCTCCTGGGTCACAGGTCGACGCTCAGACACTGAGCCGCGCCAGCCGGGCTGTCTAAGTGTATTTAGCACGTCGCCACGGACGGAAACAAGCCGGGAGATACTGTGTTCATGGACGAAAGGACCCGGATCGAGAGGTGTCAGCCCTCAGAAAACTGACCCCGAATCCAGGCAACTGCAACAGACACGCTCCCAGGGCGGCTCCCAAATACACGCAGGAGGGGGCAGAAGGAGGGAGGGGCCAGGCACCCCCAAAGAGTAGGGTGACAGTCCGCCGCCCAGATGGCGTCACCAGCGCAGCTGGGGTGACAGACAGCGAAGAGTCATGCGGAGAGGGGCAGGGGCCCGACCACGCGTGTGGGAGCCGACTGCAGCGGAGCCACTGGCAGCGGGCGGAAGGGGCACAGACTGCCCCTCGGACGATGGGAAGGGGGGACTGAATCCTCCGAGGAGAACCAGGCTCTGTGGGTGCATCTCCCATGCCACCACGCCGGCCCTGGAGCCCACGGCAAGGCCCCCCCAGGCGGAGGCCCCAGTTCCTAATGAGACCTCGTGATGGCCCTGTGGCAGCAGCTGACCCCCTCCCCGCACCCCCACCCCCACCCCCAGGTGGAGACCAAGGAGTTGGCCTGGCCAGGAACTCGCACAGGTGTGAGGCGGCAGGGTCTCTGCCTCCGCCACCTGCACAGGGAACCCGCACAGAGACCATCCCCAGCAACTATCCTCCCTCCCGGGCCCTCACAGACGGCCAGGTGGCACGGCTCCAGGCCTGGGGTCTGTGCCCGGTGGAGGAGGGCACAGGGGACCCTGAAGGATGCTGGGTGCCTGCCCCGCCTGGAGAGCAGCAGCTGTGGCGCTGTCGGTGGCGCTGGCGCTCAGGCCTGGAGCCGGCCACGGACCAGGAGCCCATGTCAAGGATGGGCATGCTGAGGCCCAGGGTCACACAGCGGTGAGTGACAGCTCAAGCCCAAGTTGCCTGGAATGAGACCAGACGTCCCACCCTGGCCTGGGTCAGGCCTCTGTTCTCAAACGCGCCTTCCTGGGAGCTGGCCACTCCCTGCGGCCAGGGCTCCAAAAGAGAAGCCAGGCCCCCAGAGCCACCATCAGGAAAGGACAAGGAGGCCCTGGCCGGTGTGGCTCAGTGGATAGAGTGTCGGCCTGCGGACTGAAGGGTCCCAGGTTCGATTCCGGTCAAGGGCATGTACCTTGGTTGCGGGCACATCCCCAGTGGAAGCGTGCAGGAGGCAGCTGGTCGATGTTTCTAACTCTCTATCCCTCTCCTTCCTCTCTGTAAAAAATAAAATATATTTTAAAAAAAAAGGACAAGGAGGAGGTCACAGTTCGATTCCCAGGCAAGGGCACAGGCCTGGTGCGGGCTCCTCGATCCCCCATGAGGGCCGTGCAGGAGGCAGCTGATCAACGACTCTCTCATTGATGTTTCTGTCTCCCTCTCCCTTCCTCCCCAAAATCAACAAGATAAACAAACATACAGACAGGGAAGGACAAGGAGGCCGAGGGGGTCTCCCGTTCACACCTCCCTCCACAGCTCAAGGCGCGCACCTGCCATCCCCGCTGCGCTGCCTCCGCCCTGCCTGCTGCAGCCTCGTTTCGGGAGAAGGCCCCGCCCAGGAGCCAGGCTGGGGCTCATTAGAGGATCAGCTCCATCCCACGGGCCTCCTCCACCCCCCGCACCCTCTATCTGCAGAGCGTACACTTTAGAGTTTGATGTCTGGGTCGTGCGTTTGGTTTAATTCTGTTGTTTCTCTTTTCTGCTGTCAAGAGGCAAACAGACAAGGAGACGGATTAATAACTCGTGTGGGGGGAG